TATTATTCTGCTGAGAATGAGTCAGATTGAGAGAGGTAGTACAAGAATGAGACTTGATATTGAAGTCTAGATACACTGATGACAGATTATAAAGATTACACTTCAGAAGTGTTTATTAATTAGATACTTGATATTATTACTGAGATATCTTTTTGTATTTTTCTGCTGAGAATGAGTCAGATTGAGAAGGATGATACAAGAGTGAAACTTAGTATTGATGTTTTGAAATATCAAAGATGAACAGGATTTTCACAGAGATCACTTCTCAGATATCTTCACAATTACAGATCAAGAATCTTTTAAAATTAAGAAGATTGATGTATATGACTATGTCTCTTCATCTTACAATTTGTATAGCACTTTGGCCCAGGGTTGTGATGTGATAGGGGTGAACAGGGGATAATCCCACACAGGAGTTTTGAACAACATCTAGTTCACATTTAGCTGAATATCTCCACCATCACACAGGGTACGCGGTCAGTGATGGGCTCAAAATGCTTATATGATTGAGGGCTTTTCAATGAATCTATCAGCGGGTTCTTATTTGAAAAATCAAGTGAGTTCATAATGAAGCAGTTGACTTCAAGCTCTTTAGTTATAGTTCTTTCTCATTAAATCTGGAAAAAAAGTGAATTAACTCAATTTTATTTATATTAAATTGAATTAGATTGATATCTGTTCTAATAAAGATTTTCTTTACTACTTTCTCAATCACTTCTAACTTCTTTTTGATTATTTTTGAACTGTAGAGTAGATCAATATTATCTATATAACTTAAAGATCTCACTATTTTCATCTCTTTATTCTTGAATAGATATTCAGTGTATATTGAAAATAAAATAGATGAGATTGAAGATTCTTATGATACTTCTATTTTTATCTCAGTTTTATCTTGTTTTCTTTCATCAAAGAATAGTTGTATAATTCTTTTAGATATAAAATAATGAACTCATTTTATTAGAGAAAGTGACAGTTTTAACATCTTTAAAGTTTGAATTATCTTAGACTTTGAAACATGATCAAATGCATCTTTTATATTAATAAAAACTAAAGTTAAGATCAGATCTTCATACTTTACTACTTAAATATCATGAATAACTGAGAGAACAGTGTTAATTACAGAACATTGTTTTCTATCTCTCATTTATTCACTAAATAGAAGAGAATCACTACTAGAGCTTATAAAAGATAATCTAGTAGCTATTATCTTTTCTAAAATTCTTTTTCATCAGTTCAACAGAGATATTACTCTATATAACTTAGAAATTGAAGCTCTTCTATTAGATTTTATAAGAATTACTTCAGTAGCTTCTCTTCAGTATTCAGAATGATAATCATTTTTTAAGAGATTGAAAAAGAGCTTAAAATATTCATTCTTTAAGTAGAAATATATGTTTTAAATAATCAAGTAATTGATTGAATCAGGCTCTGCAGCAGTTTTAGTTGAACTTGAGAATATTACTGACTCTAGTTCATCATATATAAGCTCAGATCATTCTCAGTTATTTTCATCAATATATTTATGAAATGATATATTCTTCTCTTCTAAATGTAATGAGTTTTGAAAGAGAATTCTTATAAAAGCTTGATATTTTTTCTTAAAAGAGTTTGCTATATACACTTCATTCTGAAATTTATATTCTAAGATTGAAAGCTTTGCTACACTTCTTGTTTTAGTGTAGTTAAAGACTTTAAAAACTTCTTTTTCTTATACTTCTTCAAGAAATTTGTTTCAGCAATCTGTTTTGACTCTTTTAATATCTGAAAAATATTCATTTTGAATAGCTTTGAACTCTTTATCAGATATTAAGTTATTCTTCTAATCTCTTTTAGCAGTGACTAATTACTTTCTTTTAGAAGTGATATTCTCATTTCATCAATGTTTGAAATACTCAGAAGACTTTTTCTTTGAAATATTTTCTTCAATACTTATTATAAGAATAGATGTAATCAGCTTTACTCTATTCTTAAGCATTTCATTTGAGATATCTTGACTTTGATTTCAATAGAGCTTACTCTGTCTTTCAGATTTCAGCTGTTTTACTCTTTCTTCAACTACTTTTCAATCAGCTTTTTCAAAGTTATACTGATTAGAGAGCAGAGGATTTTCACTTCTTTATTTTTCACTCAGTTCAATATCAAATTGAATGATCTTATTGTCTGATTCTGAGACTTCATTTGAATTAATAAACCAGTTTATAAGTCTTTTTTTAATTAGATTTTATGACATGAAAGTTAGATCTATAATAGATTTCTATTTCATGTCTTTTCTAAAGAATGTTTATTAATCAGACTTGTTAACTCAATCTATTAAATAATTAAAAGTTTATTCAATCAGTTTATCTGCTTTTACTGCTCTTATGCACTCTGAGTTTTATCAGAGATAATATGCATTGAAGTCTTCTACAACTATAGAGTTTTTTAAGAGAGTTAGATTTAAAAATTCTTTATTAATTATTCAGACATTGTTGTTTTCTTTCAATAACTTTTCATTATAGATATTTATAAGTTAAATAGTATCAAACTTATTCTCTTTATCTATAATATCACTCACTAGAATATCACAGTCAGATATGATATCAAATCTCAGATTAAAATAATATCTTGATCTTTTTCTCTCATAGATTACTACTCTTGATTTTATCTCGGATTTTTCAGAAAGAAAGCAGTAATTAGACTGACCGTGTGACCGTGTCTGAGATCAGGACCAAACTTTACAGTTGTCATGTTGCCTAAAAGCATTACTTCTGGTCATGATTTGTGTTTATTACATTGATTTCAAATCATGTTATTTCAAATATTAAAGATCTCAGATTCACTTTTCAAATAAAAATCTAGTTCTGAATAAAGAATATGTTTGAATTCTTAGTCACATTTTCATTCTGATCTCATTATTGAGAATGGCATTAAATAAGATTATGAAATCACTTCTCACTTATATAATATTATAATATAGTGCTCATTTGTTGAAAATTCAACAGAGAGTGTTATTAAATATCATTACTTTTCTAAACACAGATCATAATTTATATAATTTTAATTATGAAAAAAATATAAAATATAAAAAAAAAATAAAAAACAAAAAATAAAACAAAAACAAGAAAAAATCAGAATGAATAAAAAAAAAAGAAAAGAAAAAGAAAAAAATAAAAAATAAAAACAAAAAAAATCAAGATCACAGAATCACAGCATCTCTAAAATACTCACTTCTCAGAGTCTTTGCAATATTTATCATTAACTGTGTATCTCTCACAGTGAGAATAACACAGCTGTAATGAGTTATTATCTTAACATTATCTAATAAATAATCAGTATATATCTGTATAAATGTGAATATTTAGAAAATATACACTTAAAAAGTGTGATCAGAGTGAACTCTGCTGTCACTTGAATAACATTAAGAACAGAATGCTGGAATTGATGATTCTTCTCATTGATTTCACAGATAAGACAGATGAAGATAATCTTGAAGAATATAAGATTCTCTGACTTCTGATAAAAATGAATCTCATGAAGAGACTCTATTTTCATGATATCAGAGACTGAGTGTTATTAAAAAGTGTTACTTTCATGCAATGCATATGCACTTACTGCAATGATTCACTCTCTGTTCACATGATCAAGAGTTGTAGCTTTCTCACACTGCATGACTCTCTCTGAGATGCTGGCACTGGTTTGTAACTCATACAGTCTCTCAGTTCAGCATACACTGTGTGTATACAGTTCTGCATGCTGAGGCTGTGTTGATCATTATGATCTGGCATGATACTCACTTTTCACAGGTCATGTTTTGTTTGAGAAGAGAGAGAGAGAAGACATGACTGTGGTTTTATTAAGAAGAAATAAATAATTAGTAATATTGAATGTAATTTGATTCTTCTGTATTTAAAATTTGATTAGTCTATACTCTTCAATTTGAGGATTTCTAAGAGTGTTTTGATAGTTTTCATATCAGCTTGAACTTAGTGGTGGATTGAAGAAGAAGAGAAAGAGAGAAGAAAGAAATGAGAATAACTTATCTTTATAATATAAAAACAGAGAATCACTGTAATTATTCTTTCTAGTAACAAAGATCTGTTTTCTGCATATATCTCTGATATAGATTATATGATAACTGCATACAAAGAATATCAATACTGCATGCATTGAATGAAGATGATGTTACTATGCAACACTGTAGCTGTTTCTATATATCTCTGAAAGCTGTTAATATTTTCTTTGTCTCTTTATATTTGATAAGTCAGTAATATATTTCAATACACTCTCTCTTTCATTATTATTATTATCATCATTATTATCATTATCATCATCATCATCATCATTATTATCATCATTAACATCATCACTATTATTATTATTATTATCATCATCATCATTATCATCATCATTATCATTATTATATCATTTCTGTCCGCCTCTTCTGTCTTCACCTCTCTTCAACACTTACTGAAATCAATTATATCATCTCTCTTCAAATATTCTGCGGTTCTGCAGACTATCAAGGCGTGTGAGCGCCATCACAGATTAAAGAGAGAGAAGAAGAAGATGTTCAAGTAACAAGAGACAGATTATAAGACATATTATAATGTCTTGAAGAGGCTCTGTAAGAAAGTAGAATGATAATGATTTTAAGTAATACTTCTGATAGATTTAGACTGAACTAAGTATAGAAATAATATAAATGACACTGTCTGTGAGAGATTGAAAAAGAAGACAGTGAAGAGTCTTATACAGTAGTGATGAAATCAGAAGAAGTTCTGAGAATGATTTAAGTTCAAGATGAAGAGAGAGAGAGAGAAGAAGAGTATTACTGCAAATAAGTAGCAGTAGAAGAAGATTGAGAGAATGTTAAAGCAGGAGATAAAGAAGTCAAAACTGATAAGTTTTTTATTTATTAAAAGATAATAATTTTTTGATAATACTTCTGTTCTCTAATTGATTAGCAGGAGCTGACAGAGAAGAAGAGAATTGAAATCTTATTCAGGTCTTGAATGTGCTTCATGATTCAGAATATTGAGAAGACAGCTCTGCTCTCTGAGTATGTCAATCTGCTTACTGCTGAGATGAAACCTGAGACAGCAGATCAGGAAATGCAGGATTTTGAGATACAGGTTGATCTGACTGAGAAGAAGCAGCAGAAACTCTTCTCTGAGAAGGCAGTGAAGAGAGATTTTGAGATGATTATTATCTCAGATGAGAAGAAGAAGAAGAAGAAGAAGAATGAGAAGTGAATTGTGAAGAATAATAAGAAGAATAAGAAAGAGAAGAAGTAGATTTTTTTCTTTTTATATTAGTTAGTTGTAAGTTTAAGTTTTTAATTATTAATAATTAAAATTGATTTTGAGTTTTCAAAAATTATTGTACAAGTTGTAATCAAGTCAGAAATGATATATATATACATATATATTTAACTATCATGATTCATAAATCACTATAATGTATAAGTATCAACATTTTTTCAATATTGATATTTATAATATTAATATATTTTTAATGATATCATCTGATAATGTAATTTGATAATACTCTCTTTCACAATATTAATATATTTCAAGAAATATAATAGAGATTAATCAAGATTGTTTATTTACTTTTATACATTAATAATATTCAATCTGAGTTAGTACTAAAATTATAACTAAGCTAAGAAACAAGATTATTTTCTCTTATATTAATTCTTCTTACACACATCAGTGATCAGTTATTAAAAATAAATTATTATCTTTCTTAAATTATTATCATGTCTTCTGAATTCACTTCTTTCACTTCTTTTACTTCTATTGAAGATTTACAAACTCTTCAAGAAATCACTGTGAATTACAAAGTCTATGTTATTTACAATTCAACACAGAATGCTCTCTTTCAATCATGATAAATGATCACTTCATTCTTCATATCTGATTCCAGATCATGAAATTTATGAAAAACTCAACACAAATATCAAGATGAACTATGGAATAATTATTAATACATTGTATTGCAGATTACTGAAGAGTTATCTCTCTACTACAATCACTGCAACTTTATTCAGAAACATTCATCATAAACTGATCATAACTCTGAAGGAATTTTCTGACATCTGAAGTCATCAGAATGCAGATAATAAAAGAAAAATAATCAGAAAATTACTACTGAGCTGATAAGTTACTCTACTAGATAATGATTTTTAATAATACTAACTTTCTAATTTGAAGAAAATTATGTGAAAATAATCATATATCAGTACTCTGATTCTACAACTCTTATCTGATAACTTCTGTGAATAATTACTTCACATGTATATATCTCTGAATCTTTCTTTTCAATCAATTGAAAACCCCGAATTCTGAACACTTCTTTAAATGCTTAATTCAAATCTTCATATTTCATATTAATTCTGTCTTCAGTTCAATCTCAAGACACACTACAAAGTCAATATACAACATCTAGAATCAGAGTTGAAGAATCATTGAAGAGTGTCTCTCACAGTGAATGTATAAACTAGTACAAACAATCTTGCATTTATAAGAGTTACATGTTATTACATTGATGAGAACTGAACTTATCAAGAGACATTAATTGAATTTGAATCATTGATCAGTAGTCATACTGAGAATTATATAACAGAGATATTAATGACTGTGATTAAAAATGACTATTAAGATATTAGTCTCAGTCTTCTTATAATTACAACTGATAATACTGTGAATAACTACACTATAATGAAGAGCTTGAAGCAAAAATTGACTTTGTATTTCTGAAATAATAAATAAGGTCATATTCTCTGTATTGCTCATGTGATTCAACTTATGATGTAAACACTGATAAAGAATCTTAACATTGAGATGAAGAATAATGAGATGACCGGTTCTTGAGATGAGAATGAGATAAAAGTGATTACTTAAGTAACTTTTGCAATTACTTTGTAAAAGATAATGTTTTTTAACAACACTTTTTAATATTGCTTTTTGATAATGCTTTTTTGTGATTCAAAGGTTGCTTAAGCCAGCGTACGATTACAGGCGTACGCCGGCTTCTTATATATTGAATCTCATACGCTAAATTAATTAGTGGCCGCTAGGGCCCCCTTTACATTCATACGCGTACACTAGTAGTTCGGAAGCATACGCGTATGCTAGTAGTTCGGAAGCGGCTGTGTTATTATTCAACAGTCGTATGTTCTTCCGAACCACATCCTCCCTCACCAGATTCAGTCACGCCCACATGATCATGTCATACACCCTAGCTTCATGCAGATTAGCTTGCCACTAGTGTTTCACGATTGTGTGATCTATCCCTGATTTGGCTAGTGTTCTGTGTATGCTCTTACAAAGAAACTTTCACTATATTACATCACTCATTCACTAACTTTTCTCATTCTTCAATCATCTTCTTCATCATCATCATCATCAAATGCTACTATCTCATTCAAGATTTCTATCTCTTCTTCTGTTCAACTCTTTTCATCTGTTCATCTATCACATTGTATGTGTTTCTGACAATGGCTCCCTGTTCTCATAACAAGCATCATTATAGTGCTCATATCAGGCAGTTCATTAGTAGTAAGTATAACATGTTGTGAAATATGATCAGAACTTGTTTATCTTCTAATGATCATCAGAACAATGTATTATTATGAATGATAACACATCTTCTTCATCTTCTCATATACTCTTAATTATTTCTTCTTCTCAGCAGGTTTCTGATCATGTTTTCTGACATGATTTTATATGAACACAGATGCTGATGTTTGTTTTTATTCCTGTAGAATCTTCACACATTGACAGATTCACATTCACTGATGATACTGAACTCAGTATTGAATCATTGATTGAGAACTTGAAGAATGTGATAATGAAGGAATTGTCTGTGTCATGTATAACTGAGTCTTCAGCATTCTTCTCTGCCTCTTCTGTTACTTCTTCTTCTGCTACTCTCTCTCAATCTTCTACACTTGTCTCTGTGTCTGGTTCCCCCACTCTCACTACTTCTGTTCCCGCGACCTCTACTCTCACTACTTCTGGTTTTACTGTCTCTGCCTTTCTTACCAGCTCTCTCTGTTTCAAGAAGATGTTGCATAGACTTGATGAATCATGTTTCTCAGTGTGTACACTCTCACTCTTCTTATCAATCTCTAGAATGATTTATTGTATGAAGACTGTGTATAACACAACTATCTGAAGCTCAGTCACAGATGCTGATTTATTATATTTTATTTTAAATATTTTATAATAATTATTTATTTATATCAGAGATCAGAGAATCACTCTTTCTCTTTCAACAGTGTTAAAAATTATAAGCCTTTTTTCTTTTTCTTCTTTTTCTTTCTGAAGCTGGATTTTTCTGGTTCTTAAAGAAAATCATTAAGAGTTTTACTGGGTATGAAGTCATGGATATTCATAGATATCAAGGAAACTTTTTTATAACTGTAAAGGTCAATATTATAGAATTATTCACTCTGATAATTTCT